GATCTTCCCTGCCTACAGAAGACGAAGCCAACAGCGCCTCTCGGACCGAGCGGTCGAGGCCAGTGGCCAAGAGAGAAATATCGGGAAGAGGAGAAGAAGAATGCCACTCTAATGTACCAGGGAACTACCAAGAAAAGGAAAGCCACGACACATAAAGACTGGCACCGCTTCGAGAAGGAAGGCCGCGGGCAGCAGCATGTCAGGCAAGGACGAACGGGGTCAACCCTCCCTCGCGCGGAGGAAAATGAGTTTGGTCGACTCGAGAACGAGAAAGAGAAAGGGCTAGACACGCGAACGAAAGAGGGAAAGGAGACAGAGCTCGGGTGCGTGTGTTAGGGGAGTTAGAGCTTAAAGAGGAAAGGGGGAAATAGGTTTAATATAAATTAATATATATATATATATACATATATATATATAAATATATTTAAGACCTTCTGAAGCGGGCAACGGGATTTCAGTTTTGGTGACAGACAACTTGTCACGGGCAACTCCTCTAACCAAAATACTGTGTTGACCTCACTTTTAGTGAAGGTCTTAAAATAACATACATAAAACAAACTCAACTTTAGGAATCTTACGATTTAAGATTTTGAGACACATTTAAAAGACCTAAAATGATCAATATGATCATTAAGATAAAGGGTCTAGCAACATTGACTTATTTGAACATACATAGGGTTTAAAACCTTAAAAATTGAAATAACCCTCAAAGCAATCCTTTTGGAGCTTAACAATGACAATACCCTAAATGATCAGATCAGTGGTGACAAACCCTAATCTGGTCAAATTTTGACTTAATGGTCACCATAATGATCATAAAGTCAACATTGACATTTAATTGATCCAATTGGTCAACTTTGACCCAAATAGTCAATTTGAGTTAATTTAGTCAATTTTGGTCAAATTGGTCAACCTTAGCTAATTTGGACTAATGAATCAGTCCAAACCCTAAAAATAGTCAAATTGTCCAACTTGTCCTAAGTATAAAGTTTTGAATAGATAATTTTAGAAATAGAGCAATTGATAGTATCAATCAACAGATTTTTATTCTTTTGGGACTTATCAAAAGGAATCTTAGAGATATAAGTAGCTTTATCCTTTTTATCCTTACCTAACATAGTGAGCATCTCCAATTTTCACCATTCATCAAGGTAAAGATCAGCCACAATCAAGTCTTTTTTATCATTTGTAAAGCAAGGAGATGGATCTTCTTCCTGGCATTTATCATGCCAAAAGGATAAGCTATCATTCACAAGTTTCTAGTGGATAAAGTCCTCAACAGTCTTTCATATTTTCAGCATGACTCTCCAAGTTTTGGAATCACCAATCTTGGAATGAATCTCCAATTGGTGAATGTTTCTACAATATTTGCTTTGCATGTATTTGGCCCGTTGAAATTCAGCTTTTCTAAATTTTAACCACTGAAGAATAGAATTGACCTCAGCTAGCTGCTTTAGTTGTCAAAATCCCTGCCCACCTGTATTTAAGTTATACATAGCACCTTTCAGTATGCCCGATTTCTTTGTTTATGATTCTCAGGCCATAAAAATTTATTAAAAGACCTTTTAAGTATTAGTTGTGTGCCATATTTGATCCTTAACACCTGAAACACTTTTCAGCAAAGTAATCTTTTCCCAAAGAATTAAAAAAAATGTCCAATCTCCAATTTTGCTTTTGATTTTATCCACGACAACATGAAATTGCATCTGTTTTCTCCTAAGTATTTTAAGTGGAGATCAACAATGGCAGAACCAGTATACTCATGTACCCATGCCTTCATATTCCTATTCACATGTTTCCCAAAATAAAGACGACATTTCTCAATATTAAAGCACATACCAGAAGCTTCCTGAAATGATAGGAGAGTATGATATGTTTTTTTGATAGAGTATTTGGAAGCATTAGTGAAAAATAATCACATCATCAGCATAGGTCAAATGGCTAACTCCCATTCTAGCCTTATTTTTGTACTGTGTATAGTAATGTTAAATCTGCAGGGAATTAATTAATCTAGAAAATAATCAAATACTAGAATAAAGATAGTAGGTGAGAGAGGATCCCTCTGTTTTATGCCTCTACTAGAAGTGAAAAGGCCATGTGCTTGCCCATTAAGGAGCACATGATAATAGTTGCCCTCCAACTAACCTTTGATAAAATTGCAAAACTTTGAGTTGAAGCCCCTAGATTTAATGACAAATAAATTTCCAGCTAATAGTGTCATGAGCTTTCCTTAAGTGTTGTTTGATAATAAGATTTCTCCATCTGCATTTATAGTCAAGATCACATATTAATTTTTGTGCCAATAAAATATTATATGTTATACGTCATCCCATAAAAATAGGGAAAAAACATAAAATTTTAGGAACAATCATGTTCATGGTTCCCGCCAAAAAAAAAAAAAATCAAACTTGTTGCATCATCATTGCAAGTTACTTTTTAATGTTTTATGGGTCCTTTTTTTTTTGTCATTGTTATTTTCTTGACCTAGTTATATCGTAGAATAAATTATTGATAAGTAGTGTACATAGTGAAAATATTTTCTTTCTGAAGTTTTAATTTAATGAATAAAATGATTATTTTACTTCCTGAAACCTTCTTTTTTAATTTTTGTAAATCGTTTGGATATGTTATGACATTGCTACTTTCTATATAAATGGTTCAACGGTTTTTTGATACTCATAACTGGTTTTATCTCAACTGTTTACAGGACACATCAGATCCTTTAGCCTTCGCTCTTCTGCAGCCACAATCCACTGGAACGCTTGTTCTGGAACTTGATTGGCTACCAATGAGAACCAAGAGAGATGAACCACTTGTATTGTGTATTGCTGGGGCTGATAGCAGTTTTCGCCTAATCGAAGTTGGCGTGTAGGTTCACACTAAACCAAATATTCTTTCATTCAGCATCTTTCCTAATGCATCTGTTTTATAATCTTCATTAGCCTAATCTGGTTAGTTGGGCTGCAATTGTTATCGCAGTTGATATTTTATTATCATGACCTAATTTAGGATCTTTATGTTGTTTTACTGTTATACTAGACAACTGAGAAGCTCTAATTACAATACTGAACGTTTTTATTTTTGGTGCTGGTTAATCTAATGGTTTATTGCTTCTTGCTCCATGTCAATATTAGTTCTGAAGGAAGAGATGGATGGAATTGTTAAGAGGAACATTTTTCCATTGTCAAGGTCCACTTTTGGTGATATTATCTTCTCCCCTCGTTCACCCACCTTGGCTTGGGTGGAGTGGGCTGTAGGTATGCAGGGAGGCATTAGAACATGCACTTCAACATTTTTAGAGTGTGCATATCTAGAAAAAATTCTTCCAAATATGTGAATACCAAGTGACAAGAATCTATGTGAGAGATTGTAACAGTAATAGATCTATAGATATTAATTGTCGACATGATATTTAAATGTTTTCTTAGGACTAGTTTCCCATTGGTTTCACTTCAGTTCATGTCTCAACAATAACAAAAACAACAACAAAAAGAAGCCTTTGTCCCACTAAGTGGGGTCGTCTACATGAGTCCTTTTTCTCCATTGTGTCCTATTTTGTGTCATATTTTTATTTAATTATAATAAATTAAGATCATTTCTTATACAATGTGCTCAAGTTATTTTAGGTCTATCTCTACCTATCTTTAGCTAAGTCAAATTTAAAATATTTACTCTCCTAACAAGGTCATAAGAGGGTTGATATTTAACGTGAGGAAACCATCTAAGGTGACTCTCTCTAATCTTGTCTGTCACTGGAGGTACTCCAACCTTTCATGGATATATTTGTTTCACATTTTATTTAAGTGTAAAGCAACTCATTCACCTGAGCATTCTCATCTCAGTAACACTTAATTTAATGCTTCTCTTTTACAGACCAACATTCTGCACCATAAAGCATTGCAGGTCTCACCATTAGTTTTTAAAATTTTTCTGTAAGTTTAAGCAGTGTTTTTTATCACATAATATGCCCGATGCGTCCCTCCACTTCAACCACCAAACTTGAATTCTACTAATAATATCCCCATTTATATCACCATCACTTCAAACAATAGACCCAGGATATGTAAAACATTCAATTCTTTTAATGACTTAGTTTACCAAGTGTTACGACCTTGCTACTAGATCTACTACTATTAAAATTGCATTCAATGCATTCAATTTTAGATCTATTCAAATGAAAATTTTTAGATTCTAAAGTTGACCTCCATAAGTTTTTTTCTGAACTCTCTCTCTGAACTCTCTCTCAAGTCTTCTGAACTCTCTCTCAAGTCTTGTCCACAAGAAGGATATAATCAACAAAAACATACATTAAGGTACATCCTCCTATAAATGTCCAGTATTGACATCCATAGCTAAGGAAAAAAGATACACTAAAGCAAAAAGATACTGGCTTAAGTCGATCTCTGATGTAATCCAACTGAAATAGGAAAATACTTGGCCAATCCTTCTTGTGTTTGAACACAAGTAACATCTCTAGTATACATAACTTTAATAATTTGAATATAAGCATTATAAACACCTTTCTCTTCTAAAAATTTCAAAAGTACTTCTCTCGATATCTTAGCATAAGATTTTTTTAATTCAATAAAATTCTTATCTAGATCCTTCTTATTTTCTCTGTAGTTCTCCCTAATTTTTCTCAATAAATGCATAGGTTTCATGGTATACTTGTCTGACATGAATTCAAACTGATTTTAAAAAAATTTTGTATCACGTCGTAACCTATGTTCAGTTATTCTCTCCCATAACTTTAATGTATGTTACATGTACTTAGGTATTTTATAATTTGCACAATTTTATGCATCCTCTTTATTCTTAAAAATAGGAATCGATAGACTCCTTCAAACTTGTCTGACATTTTTTAGTTTCTTAAGCAATATTAAATGGCTTAGTAAGCCAATCAATTCTCAGATCTAAACGTTTTCACACTTCAATTGGAACACTCAAGTTTTACTATTTTTCCATACTCATCTTCTTTAAAGCTTCGTCAGTTTCTATTTTATTAATACGACGGTAAAAATAAAAAAAATATTATTATTTATGATATTAAGATTAGTAAAGTCAATCATATTTTTATGATTTTTATCGAATATTTCATTAAAATATTTCACCCAGTTATGTTGAATATCCTCATCTAATAAAATTATTATTTTTTCTTCATCCTTGATGCATTTAACTTAAACTAAATCTTATTTTTTTTATTTCGTTGCTCGACAAGTTTGTATATATTTTTATTATCATATTTAATATCTAATTTTTTATAAAGATCAATTAAATCATAATTTTAATCATAACAAAATATTCTCTAAAACTCTCTACAAGCTATCTTATTTTTTTTTTCAACTCTACATGTTATTACATTTGGATTAATTTTTATAACATAATTTCTTATTTTTCATCTTTTCTTGCATATTATTATCCCACCACTAACTATTTTTATTTATAAAATTTTTTCCTTTTGATTCTCCAAACATATCTTTTGCAACTTGGTTAATAGTAATTGTTACTTTATCCCACATAGTATTAGCTTATTCATGAACATCCGAAATATTATGATATTGAAATTTACTCTTAAAAATAATTTTATTTGGATTTTCAGTACCCCCATTTAATGTTATGATAATGTTTTTTTGTATTGTTCATCTTATAACAATTCATCTTAACCTTCAAAACTAGCAATTGATGTTGGGTATTTAAATTGTCTCGAAATGATATTACAATCTTTATTATATTGATCATCTATTTTTCTAAAAAAAATCAATTTGTGTTTTATTAGATTCATTCAAGCGATAATAATTTTTATCTTTTTTCTTAAATAAAGTAGTAGCAGTAACAAAATCATAAGTTAAAGTATTCTTTATTAATCATTCCAAAATCATAACAATCATAAATGCTTCTAAAGTTTTCTACTACGCTACCGACATCTCAATTTAAATTTCTTCTAATAAAAATTATTTTTTTAAGAGGCATCATTTGCATTAATTCTTTTAGGTCATTCGAAAATCTTTTTTTGAACATATATCCAAATCTATTTGGGAAGCATAAACACTTATACTATTAAGAATCCCAGTATTACTAACAATCTTCAGAACTGTAGTTTTATTTCCAATTCTATTAATTTTTACAACATTATTTTTTGAACTCTTATTTATTATTACACTTACACCTTTTTTAGTAGTACTCCTACTTGAATACCAAAATTTAAAACCTAAGTTATTAATCTTCCTAATATTTTCTCCAACCAATTTAGTTTTTTCAGTGCATATGCTCTTTATCTTTCTATTAACCATAATATCTACTAATTTCATTAATTTATTTGTGAGAGAACTTATATTCACGTGACACTATATAAAATTCAAAGTTAGGCTTCAAGCATCTTATTTTTTGGTGGAAAATGAAGGTTGTTGTAAGCTCGGTACTTTTTTTTTTATTTATCATAAGAAAATAAATGTTGAAAATTTACAGCTCATCCTATAGGGCAATGCCAGAAATCATTTAAAAATTAGTGAATAATTCCTTTAATAGCTCTCTATGTGGGCTTTATAGAGGACCTCTCGTATAGTATTTCCCATCTATCAAGCTGCTACATAGTGCAAGGTGGTTGGCTTTTTTTTCTGCCAATTCGTGCAAGATACGGACATCAGTTAGTGAAGGAGCTCCTTTGCCTGCGAAAGTTGTAAGCTTGTAATAATGGAGTGAAGGAGCTTCTTCATGACACTCTCGTTTCCTCAGAAGCACCTGGGCCCTCTTCTGTCTGACTATGTATTCCCAACCAGCGCACCAAGGTAAATTAAGATCAGAATTGTGTGCTATTAAATTCTTTTGCTAAAAGCAATCTTGTTATGTACTGCAAAAAGTTTGAAAGTAATCTTGTTGAGTACTCCATTATTGTTTCTCTCGTTAAGTTGCTAAGTGAAGCAGTAATGTTGAAGAATGGGCGCTGCGATGATTCATTTGCGAACCAATCCTTTAGAAAGAGTAAACTGGAAATAAGTACTTGTGGGCTGGATTAAGCCACATGCTACAAGATAGGACCTTGTCGTTGAATTCATGATGATTTTTGAAAATCAAGAGAGCCGAACTACAGAATAGGCTTAGAGTAAAAGAGGCAAGCTTTGATGAACATTTACCTGGATCAAGGCCAAACATTTTTTTTTAAACTCTGATTCCTCTATTGCTGCAATTTGTTCATCTTAAGGAAAAAGTTTATTTGGTCCCTTGTATGTGGATGTAAATAAATTGGGATGAATATTACAGAAGAAGGCTTGGTAATGGCACAGTGAGAGAATGCATGCTTAACTAAGCATATGCAATCTAATCAAGAATTAATATCAAGGCGATGTTGGGATATGGGATAGGGCGTAAATAAAAGTTTTTTTTTTTTTTGCTCTTCCCTGGAAGTAAGGAGCTCATTAAATTATCCATAGCGTTGGCTTGTTGCTATGATGAAGGGCCCTCCTGCAACTCGCTAATGACACCTTCTAATAACAACTCTTTTGTGGCTTCTGCTATAGTGACATGTTTCCTCTTTTGGCGTTGGTGCTTTTATGACAGTGTGGTGTGATATATTACTATGGTTCCTTTTATTATCTATTTCTAGTAGGCTCAATGGCTTTCTATTGATATATTTTATGGGAAAATCTCTATGTTAGCATTTCATCTTTTTTCTCAGTTGCTGGCAAGTTTTTCTATGGTCTTCCAAATATGGGCTATGGAGATTGCTTATAGATTCATAATTGATTTCTGTTTTGCTAGGACTGTTTTGTTGGATTTGTGGATTCTTGTCGTGGTCTGATCAATACTATGTGGATGGTATCCAATGCATTTTGTAAAGTGGTTGATTTTCCACATCTTCAAATTCACTACGC